ATTCAGTCTAGAAATGAAATATATGTTAGCCCGTGGAGCTGAGCAGTAAGTTCCCAACGGTTTGGTTTTTTTAACTCAAGATCTTATCTAAAGATTTGGGACTGGAAAAGGAAGTTGGCTGAGATTCTGTGATCTTTATTTGGACTATCTGACGTGTTGGGCTTGTGGGGGCGTGTTTTATTGATGGTGGTTTTCCTTTTCTTTCTTTTTTCTTCCCCCTCCCCTCCCCCTTAGTCTGCTAAAACATATATCTATATCTATGTGACTGACCGTGGGGAAAAAAGTTCCCTAGACAGCTTCTCTGGTTATCTGCCTTTACTGAGATGAAGAAAAAAAATGATGGCCTATTGAAATAAATAAACATTTAGTCCTTGATGTCAACTGCAGCCAGAGTTTCCTCGGTTGGTTATTAGCTTGGAGCAATTTTGTATAAATTGGATATTGGCGGGGGGGGGGGGGGGGGGGGAGGAAGGTGCCTGTCAATACACAGAGTTTTGAATTTATGAATTTTAAGGGAGAATAATATTCTGCCATTTATTCACCATTTTTAGATGCCAAGTGAAATGCACAGTCAGATGGAATCTAATCACTGTAGCCTTTTCTTGAGGAAAAAGCAGATTTTAATTTTAACCTCTTCGGTACTTGTTATTCTGTAGTTGGAAGTCCACAGCCTGTCTATAGCATAAGATGAAAGTGTGCTGTGACAGAAATTGCTGTTTTCTGATATGGTTTCTGGTGTGATGTCTTTTTGTAACATAATCAAAAGACAAGATTTATTTTAAGTTCAGGAGATGCTTGTCTAGGACTTTTAATGTTATAATCTGAAGGGAGCATACTTTGACAAGATACTTGAAAGATATTTTTTTTAAGTGAAAGAGTATTTTAACACACACAGAAATATGCCAAACCAGACTTGCATAGAGACAGAATGATTCTGTGCTGCAGCTTACCTTATTACGTGCTTAAGATGAAAAGCACTTTTCTCAAGTGCTAAGCAGGAATAAATTGAGACAAGAGGAAGTTATTTGGTGGGAGAAACAGTTTTTAAGAACTGAAACACTACAAAAGGTGACGCCTACTAAAAAGTCCTTGATTACCTTATATGGAGGATCAAAGATGCTGGTGAGATACTTCTTTGCTATATTGTAGTCTCCCCTGCTGGTTTCTCAGTAACCCATCTCGATCTTCTATTACTTTATGCAGTTTGTGAACACCTGGGGTGCTCCATAGACATGCAGGCTTCCAAAGTCTGTGATCCTGTGTGAGTGGACTCAACAAACGGCCTTCGTTGCATATCCAGGGCTAACGGGCATAAATTTGTCTAGCTAAGTGCAAACCCAGAGCGGCTTTACAGAAATGGGGAATTCTGCAGCCCTTCTCACCTCTGCTCCCAGGAATGTAAGCTTTTGCAGGAGTCTAATATCTTCTATTATCTGTTAATGAGGTGTTAAAAAGAGGTGGTTAGAAGGTTTTGAGTCACAGTAGACATCTTGGCGCCCTTCTAATGTGAAATGGAGTTTGGAGGACTGTTTTCCATAAATCTTCCATATACTGTTTTATTTCGTAAATGAGATATTTTTAAAAAGCAACATCAACCCCCAGCCTTTAAATATGCAGTTCGGTCTCTGTCCTTGTCAGGCAGATAACATGGTGTTGAAATGAGAACGTCGGAGATAGTGGTGCTCTCCCCTCCTCCCCAGAAACTCACCCCAGTTTCGGGGATGAAAGTAATTAATGTCGTGGGGTTTTTTATTTCCTAGATGATCCGAGCGCTTAGACCTTTCTCAGCCCTAAAGGGACACTTATGGTTTGCTTTTTTACGGAGTGGGCAAAGCAGAACGTGCATATTAATATGCAGTCCTACTTACGCAGCTGATAGCTTTCTGTTGAATCACAACTCTGCTTGTAGGCATCTAAAAATAAATGACAGCTTTTGCTAAAAGCCCACTGAAGTTAATGGAACATGGTTACTGAGTTTAGTGGGAATTTGATTTAGGATCATATCTGTTATCTCTTTTTCGTGAAGATTAATATAGATTAAAGAGGGCGGTGTTATTTATTGTTAATTTAGTCTAAGAATTGTATAATTTTTCTGTATTAAATGGACTAATGGCATTCGATAACTATCAGTCATTATGGCAGCACCAACAATCATCTTAGAAAGCATCCATGACATTATTTTTACACGTATAAAAGAAACTACATACAAATGTCTGCTATCTGTCTTGCAACACCTGCAACAGGTGTTTGGAGGGTATGTCTGTTCAGACCTGTGAGTTTGCTGTCTTCAAGATCTTTTATAAGAACCTGATTAGCAGTGATAGAACTTATTTATACCTACTCTGCCCCTGATTAAGAAGTTCCAGGGACAGAGATTGACCCAGAGGCTGTGTCCAGCTGCAATATCGATAATTGTCCTGACTAACTGCCATGGGGAGTTATTCAAGACATTACTGATTTTCAAGCCCAACCCATCATAAAACATTAATTTAGATCAAGTCTAAGACTGAAGCTAATACAGACTCCAGTACAGATTATGTGGTTCTGGATCTGTTTATCGAATGCCTTACTTGATCACTGAATACAATGAGTACTAACCTCTGCAGAGGAAGTGGTTGAGTGAAGTGTTCGTACAACACATGGTTACTGGTGTTTGTCCGTCAGGAGCTGGGAAGCTGGAGCCTGATGCACGTATTCTAATGTGTTGCTTTCAGTTTACTCGCTGTTACACATTTGTGAGTCAGTACAGACAAGGTTTTTTATTAAAAAACTTCCTTTAATTTTCAGCCTGTTTTGTGCTATCTTGTGCAAGTTCCCCAGACATCCCACGAGTCGTGCCCTTGGAGGATGGGAACGCTATGTGGTAACAGGAAAGTGGCTGTGAGGAACTCTTATTCTTAAATGTGACCTCCCTGTGAATAGGATTAGTTTGTACTACTCTGCTGGCATTATTGAATGAAAGAATAGTAGTCTAGGACAACATAAATAAACTAAGAAGGATGATGCAGATACGCAAATGCTAAATTTAGTTTTAAGATGATTACTCTGTGCCTCCTGGCTTTCCTGCTTCTCTGGGAGCAACACCTGTGATGTATGTGACTTGGAGAAGTTTACTACAGAGAATGGAAGAGGTTTTTGACTTTATTTTTTTTGCGCCTTTAAGTACTGTAATGACTCGATGAAAGTGCAGGTCTAGAAAATAGTGGTTTTAGAGGTTGGCTGTTTCTTGTGGCAGTATTTTGTGTTGGTGTAGTTTAGCATTGGGTCTCTTTCTAAGCTATTACTGGTAGAGAGGATCACTTGAATGGGCAGTGACTGTAGTTGCTGTGTTCCATGACATGAGAGCATAACATTTGTTGAGAAAAACACCAGTTAGGTGGGGGAAGAATATTTTCCTGAATTATTAATGCATGTGCTGCTGCAACTTTTAAGACTGTAAGTGCCATTACGGTGCAATCTAAAGATAAGTGAAGAGGCATTTTCCCTGTTACATTGTAGAATAGTGTCAGCTGGCCTGCTAGAAATCCACAGGTTTGTGCCACTTTTTGTAGACGATCAGTGGCTGAAAATTTTTTTTCAGAAATAGTTTTATGGGCGCGTAAGGTGTGTGCAAGGGGTAAAGGGGGATCGTCGGAGTCTGAAACAGTTTTACCTGCAGTGTGTGAGTATCCTGCCTTTACTGCCTTGCACGGACGAAGCGGGCAGAGCTGCCGGGTGTGGGGTTTGCTTTCCGAGACTGAAGTTTGCGGATCTCGGGCCGAGGCTGCGGTTCGGGTCGCTGGATAAGCCGTGGGAGCCGGCACCAGGAATGTCCCGCTCTGGGTCTGTCCCCGGGTGCGGCGCTGCCGCGCGCCGAGAGGTGGCGGTGTCGGCGCGGCCACTGGCGGCCCCTCGGCGCGTCCCGCGCTCCCGCCAGGCCGTGCGGGGTTTCCCCGCCGCTCCTTGGCCCGATAATAATAATAACAATAATTATTATTATTAATTATTATTTATTATTTATTTTTAACTCCCCCTCCCCCGTTTCTGCGGGTGTAGGTCCGCACGGCGGGCGGCGCGCCGGCACCCGCCGCGCCGGGATTCGCGGGTGCGGGGGGACGGAGCCTCCTGCCCCCCCGGGCCCCCCACGCGTGCGGGCCCGTCCCGCGGGGGCGCCGCCGGCCCGGGGAGGGGGGGCCGCGATAATAAGATGCGGCGGCGCGGGGCGTGGCCCGGGCGGCGCAGCCAATGGGAGGCGGTGCCGGCGCATAAATGATGGGGGGGGCCGGGATGCCCGGGTTTTGTGCTGCGCGGCGGAGCGCTGACCCCGCGCCCAGCCGGCCGAGCGCAGCCCCGCACGGCCCCGCAGGGTCCCGGCCCCGCCTCGCCCGGCGGAGCGGCCCCGCACGCACACACGCCGCCGGGAGGAGCGAGTCCTGATTTTTTTTTTTTCCCCGTGGAGCGTTTCTGGCCGCGGTCGCATGAATGCCCAATGTTGTAGACCGGTGGCAATGGATCTAGGAGTTTATCAACTAAGACACTTCTCGATTTCGTTCTTATCGTCCTTGCTGGGCACCGACAACTCGTCTCTGAGGCTCGACAGTAGGTAAATAAGTGTTGTGTCCGAGCGGCTGTGCCGGCGCGGCGGTGGCGGGGCAGGTGAGGGCCGGGCTGGCTCCTTTGTCCGGGGGAGCCGCAGCGGCGGGCACCGGGCGCCCGCCTCTCCCCCTGGAGGTGCTGCCCTCCCCGGCGCCCAGCGCTTCTGCCGCAGCCTGCAGTCGAGCTCCATCTTTGTGGACTGTTGGGGAACAAAATGTAGGGGTACTTGGTTTGGCTGCGGGCGGGGGGCTCGGGAGCTTCACAGGTTGCTTTGCTGCATTGGAGCATCCCGGTGAGGCGGCGGCAAGCCAGCGTGAGGATGACTTTCTCAGCCAACTGGCTACCAATGCCCGCGTCTCTTGTCTCTTAAATAATTCAGACGCTGCTAATGTTTTTTTTTCTCTCTCTTTCTTTCTCTCTTGCAGCTCCTCTGGTGCAAGCGTAGTAGCTATCGACAACAAAATCGAGCAAGCGATGGTACGTACCGATGGGGGCATAAAACCTTGTTCGTGTTTGAAGCAGTAAACAATATGGGGATGCGGCGGGCGATGGTTAACCCGTGCGGGGACGCAGTTTGGTAGCGGGACCGGGAAGGGAGGGGGAGACACGGTTTTGGGTTCAGGAGCTTTTTTTTTTTTTTTTGTCTGCGTGTTGGTTTTTTTTTTTTTAATTTATTTTTAATTGATCAAAGGCTTCCTGCGGGGAGGAACGCGCACGTTTCTGTATCGATGCCGCGGAGGGAATGACGGCATTGCGCTTGGCTCCTGCCTTCCCAAGCGATTGATCGCGGCTCCATGCGGCGGCGGAGGGGCGCTGCTGGGGCAGAAAGCGGCGTGTGTTTGTGGGGTTTTACACCCCCAAAGAGGAGGCGTTCCGGGGCACTTTTCATTTTATTTTTTTAACTCTGCTCCAAGCGCAGGAGAGCGCAAGCCAAACGAGGGCATCCCCCTCGGGCTGTCTCCGGGGCATTCTCTGCTGTCATGCCCTTCTCCCGGCGGGCGGCACGGACATCGCGGTGCCCGGAGCCGGCGGCTTTCCCTCGGGGGCCGCCGCGGCCGGTACCCCGGCCCCCGCCCAGCGCCCGGCGCGGTGCCGGGGGCCCGGCCGCCCTTTGTTACTGGAGCGGTGCCTGGAGCCGCTCTCCCGGGAGCCTCTCCGGCTGTTGCTAGGCAAACTGCGAGCCTTTAACTCCCGGCTATAAATAACTCGGCCGCCCATTGGCCGCGCTGCGCCCTGACGTCACCCGCGGCCGCGCGCGGAAGGCGGGAGGGAGGGAAATGCGGCAACCTGTGCCCAGAACTGGCTGCAGCCGGCGCGCGGGGGGCGGGGCCTGGAGCTGGGGGCGGGGCCTGGAGCCGGGGGGCGGGGCCTGCTGCCCTCCCCGGTCCGCACGTGTGTGACAGCCCGGGCCCTGCGAGGGACTGACCCGGCCCGGTGCCTTCGCTGGGATGCAGAGCTGGGGGCACACCGGCTCTCTGCAGAGGGGGATCCGTTGCATCTCTGGCTGGGCAGAGTGGGAGCCTGGGCCTGACGCTGGGCTGCTTTCCTAATGCACCCACTCTCTTCTGCGTTTCAGGATCTGGTAAAGAGCCACTTGATGTACGCAGTAAGGGAGGAAGTGGAGGTCCTGAAAGAGCAAATCAAAGAGCTGATCGAGAAGAACTCACAGCTGGAGCAAGAAAATACTCTGCTAAAAACACTTGCCAGCCCAGAGCAGCTTGCCCAGTTCCAAGCACAGCTGCAGACTGGTTCTCCGCCTTCCTCTTCCCAGTCACAAGGGACAACACAACAGCCTGCTCAGCCGGCATCACAGGGTTCAGGGCCTTCAGCATAGCTCAAGATGTCGTTGCCATCGTGATTGCTGGCCTCTGGACTGCCCAGAGCAAGAAGGACTAGCAGGAATCTGCTACAGCCACCCTTCATCCATTTCAATGCATATTGCAACCCAGACTGGGGACTCCATGCCCTGCATACGTCAGGAGAGACTTCTTCCCCCTGTATTATGCACTTATCTGTCTCCCTCTTCCCTCCCTTACCCTTTTGGCTTGAAGGAGTCTTTGTTCTTAGATTGGTTGAATAAAATAAACTTCTTCCAGAGAATTAGCACAAGTACACTGGGGACTTGAGCAGCTTCTGCAAATGGCTGAGAAACGAAGCTGCATGCCTGAATTTTTTTGGTTTGTTTTTAAATCTTCCACTCATCCAGTGATACAGCTGATATGAAGTGCTTTTCAAGCTTGGAAACGTGAAGAAATGGACTGGAGTAAAAAGTGGTGGCTCAATCCCCTGTAGTGCATTGGGGTTCCAAAGTGTGGACTGGTGCATAGGATCTAAGAGGAAGAGGGAGAAAGGTAATTTCAGTGTTTAACACTTAATTGTCACCTGAAACCTTAAGTGCAAATATTTGCACCGTTTTCTGAAGCAGTGGACAGGTGCGTAAAGCTGTATTATATATAGAAGACAGGTAGGTGACATACAGTTGTTGGGTCATAGGATAATTACAATGAAGGTTAATTGCCTACTGTATATTTGTGTATTTAGTGTAATTACTTTGTAAAATAGAAAACTGTAACTATTTAGGTTGTACAGATTGAAGTTTAGTTGTTTCATTGGCTGATCTGAAGAAGTTTGGAAAGTTGTTTTTTTTTTAATGCTACATAAATAAGAATGCACCTACGCAACTGTTCAGAATTTGACAGATTTATGCTGTTTGTGTAACTTCTGAAGTTCCCTGGCTGCTGATTATCTTGAAGTAAATCATTGTTCATTGTAGTTTGGTTGAAGATGGGAAAAAACCACTCCAAAAATTATCAAGCCCTGCTAGCAATGAATTTAAAAGAAAAAATTGGATTTCCCAGTATGGATTTTTTGCATATGATGTGTATAGTAGTATGCATATGTTTTTGTGCATGTTCTCTACAGTTGTAACACGTCAATGTATTTAACTGTTGCACTTGTCAACTTTCAATAAAGCATACAATGTTGATAAATCACTGTTTGTATATTGTACTGGTGTTAACTGCAGTCACTTTCAACATGTTGCAATGCGGTTTTACATAAGCAGTGAGGTCAGGAGGCCAAAGCCGGGCTGCAAGATGCTGCCTGTTGGCTTCAGAGCTTTAGTTTCAGCTGAAAATGCTGCTCCTGCTTTCCACAGTTCTTAAAAACAGAGAGATCGTGAAGTCAAATGAAGGAGGGAGGAGTAGGGAGCCTGACTAAGCAAAGCTGCTGGTTTTGAGTCAGTCCTGTGCAATCAGGACTGTAGGAACACAGACATCTGGTATATGATCAGCTATGAATATATATGTAAGTTGTTTCCTACTGGCAGACTGGCCTTGCTTGGGTACTGGTCATCCCCTGCTGGCAGCAGCTCCCACACCCTTAATTCAGGGTGATGAAGGCACTGAGCACTGCAGCTTCCCAGCGGGTCAGCCTGTATTAGACTATTATTCTGCCTTCTGAGAAATGTTGAGAAGAATTTCCAGTTCTGTGTGTAGGTAAAACTTTTCCTTAAGTTTGGAAAAAAACACTTTCCTCTTTAATAATGATGATTAAACTGAATCTAAGCCTACAAATGTCCAGGTGAATGACTAGATAAGATGTGATTGGATCGATAAGCTGCAACCAGGGGAACAAAGGCATTTGCAGTTTTACGTGGTTGCCTAAAATGTGAATACAAGGAATGAGTTTGACTTAAAATGTAAGGGTTAATTACAATGGGGTTTTTATAGGATCATATGACTGCTCATTCCATGTAATGAAAATCAGGAGATGCTGTTCTTTTAGAACTTCATGTTATTGAGAGTAATCGAGTGTAGCACAGGAAATAAGAAGGCTGAGGGTTCAAAGGTAGGACAGGTTACTTGTTTGTGTAACTTATAGCTAAATTCTTGCCTTTGGTGGATCCTCATCATGTAGCAGTTCAGGCAGGCGCTGCTTAGCTGGATCACAGCATAAGTAGTTGAATTGCCCTTATTGGGATTGCCATATCCAAGTGCATGCGTGAGTGTGTCTCTGTGGGAGTGTGAAATTGAATTCGTAGTTTGTGTTCTTCAGATTTCAGTGTACAGTTTAAGTGTTCTTAATGAGGAAACACCAGAGAGAAATGCAAAATTTTTCTTTTTCGTGGATTAAGCTAAAATTAGAAATTGATGATGGCCTTTGTGGCAGAACAGCACTTGAATTATTTGGATCTGACAAAAGGAATGCTAATTTTGGTGCATTTTAAAGGGCTTAATTGTCTTCAGTTGCCTTTATATTCTGACTGTTTCTTTAGCGCTTCCAGGCCATAACATTGCGAAGATTGACTTTTTCATATAGTCACAGGGATTGGCTTTCTTACCCACCTAAGTTACCAACATTTGCAAAGAATTTTTTTTGTTTAAAAATGAAATTGACCTCTGCGATTATTTCTTCTACTTTGTTTGAAGAGCAGCCTCAACATATTCTAAAGTCAAGATTTTTTTTTTAAACTGTTCTTTAATGAAGGATCTGGAAATCTTCAGGTTTTTTGTTAGGTAATACAGTAATATTTTTAGTACACTGTATTAAACAGTGGCAAATCAGTGTTGGCAAATCTGATAATTTAGGTATTGGATAATTTTGAAACTACGGAGCTGGTTCTTGGAGCTGTTTATTTATTGGTAAAGTTAATCTGAGCAACGTTTTGTTGCTGAGATGATTTTAGCAATAGCTCTGTCAAAGCTGCAGCCTCTCCATGAAATGGATTCAAATTGACTAAAATTGCACTTGGAATCCAAAGAGTAGATGTTTGTCAGTTGTGTTGTAATACTTCTGGAATGAATTGTTTTGATTTTTGCTTTTGTTCTAGAACATATAATTTTCCAGAGAACTTTTAAATCAAATATCAGTGGTCAAAGGTGTCATCTTTTTCCACCAAAATTTTTGTACAAACTCTGAGATGCTCAAGTTTTCATCCACGATGGGTCATTAACTGTAACCTCTCTTGTATATGTCAGGCTTTTTATTGTCTGCATATCTCCAATTCAGTAACTCTTTAGGCTGTATTCAAGCTGTCTGTCATTTAACTTTTTGTTGTCAATTAGCTGCAAATTATCACCAAGACCAGGTTGCTGGTTTTTTTTTCTCTTGTGGTTTCTTTTTTTTTAACCCAGTAATTTTTTGGCAAATAATTTTAAGGCGAGTCCAGGTTGTTCAGATTCTGGGGACTCTGTAAATACTTGTGTGTGCTGGCTGTGGCTGGGATAGAGCTGATTTTCTTCACAGTACCCGATATGGAGGCTATGGTTTGGATTTGTGACCAAAACAGTGTTGATAACAGAGATGTTTTTATTATTGCTGAGCAGTGCTGATACAGAGTCAAGGCCTTTTCTGCTTCTCATCCCACCCCACCAGAGAGTGGGCTGGGAATGTACAAGGAGCTGGGAGGAGACACAGCCAGGACAGCTGACGCAGCCTGGCCAAAGGCATATCCCATAACGTGTGGCCTCGTGCTGAGCACATAGTTGGGGGAAGAAGAAGGAAGGGGGGATGTTCAGAGTGATGGTGTTTGTCTTCCCAAGTTGCTGCTACACATGATGGAGCACTGCTTTTCTGGAGATGGTTGAACACCTGCCCATGGGATGTGGTGAATAAATTCCTTGTTTTGCTTTACCTGTTAAACTGTCTTTATCTCAACTCACAAATTTTCTCCCTTTTCTGATTCTGTCTCGCATTCCACTGGGGGAGAGTGAGCTGTTGTGGTGCTTAGCTGCCGGCTGGGGTTAAACCACAGCAGTCATTTTTTGTCACCCAATGTGGGGCTCAAAATAACATCAGATTTGTTTGGAACGTGCCAGGTCGGTTTTTATAGCTGTTATTGCTGTTTAACTGTTAATTGACAGGCTCATGTTTGCCATGGAGCTCGCTTGCCTGGCTGTATATTAGAGTCTAATGGTCATTAGTGGCTGCTTGCTGTACTGCTGTGCTGGTTATCACCTTAGTCTGCTGTGTCTGGGAACATTGTGATAACAGCCATGGCGATGTGCTGGGGCTGACAGATGGCCAAGGCATTGCTGCTGTACTGGACAGGCTAGAAGTCCAGTGTGAACTTGAATTGAAAGGACTGTAACCTGTGGATGAGTCCCCATGGGAGCAGGACACCCTGAGGCATCTGTGGCCCTGGATAAGCCCATGCCAGAGAAGGTACAGTTCACAGCATCTGTATCCGTGGTTATGTCTGTGCTACAGCAGTGTACCTCTGCAGGGACTGTGGCCCAAGGATAAGTCCATGCTGGAGAAGGTACACCTCAAAGCATCGGTGGCTTGAAGTCACATTGGAGAACCTCAGTGTGTGTGGCTGTGGACAAGCCCAGAACAGAGCAGATGCACCCCTGGGGGGACTGCAGTCACAGGTAAGGCTGTACTGGAAAAGCCATTCTGGAGCAGGTACATCTTTGAAGGCATTGTGGCCCATGGATAAGACCATGCGACTGTGGCTGTGGGTAAGTCCATGCCAAAGAAGGTAGACCTCTGAAGAGACTCATAGATAAAGCTTCACTTGGAGCAGGCAAACTCCTAAGAGGCTGCAGTCTGTGGAAAAGTCCAAGCTGGAGCAAGGGGAAGAGTTAATTGCAATTCTAAACCCCATAGTCTGGTCCAAATGGACCAGGGGTGAAGATTGTAATGGAAACACCCTGAAATTGTTGTAACTTGGAATTTGAGTTGTGTGTTACAGGAATTACTACAGGAAGAATCACCTGAACCAGTCTTGTAAGACAAGTCTTACAAGAAGCAGTGCAAGTGCAGCAGTGACCTGACCTGAGCTGGCTTTGGTGCCCAGTAACTCCACAGAACACACCACCTCTCCCATCCTGAGTGACCACCATAACAGATGGAGACCAAAGTTGTGGAATGAATAAAATCAATGGACACTTTGTGGATGTTTGTGAATGCTTGACAGACATTTCACAGGGGTAGTCCATAGACTAAGGGAATAATACCTATCTGTTATATCAAAGGATGATGAGTGGTGGTGGGTAATGAGGATGTATTGGATAGTGTGGGACCTGAGCATGATGTAAATGGTATGTAATCAGGAGTTGAAAATATGCTGGTTTTGCCTGTTGTAGAGCTAATATTCTTCATAGTAGCTTGTGTGGGGCTCTAGTTTGGATTTGTGCTGAGAACAGTGGTGATAACAGAGAGATGTTTTCCTTACTGCTGAGCAGTGCTGACACAGAGTCAAGACCTTTTCTGCCTCTCACCCCATGCCACCAGTGAGGAGTCTGGGAAGGGATACAGCTGGGACAGCTGACCCCAACTGACCACAGGGATATTCCATACCATATGGAAGAAGAAGGAAGGGAGGGATGTTTGGAATGATGGCGTTTGTCTTCCCAAGTCACTGTTACACGTGATGGAGCCCTGCTTTCCTGGGGATGACTGAACACCTGCCTGCCCACAGGAAGTGATGAATGAATTCCCTGTTTTGCTTTGCTTGTGTGCATGGCTTTTGCTTTACCTATTAAACAGTCTTTATCTTAACCCATGAGTTTTCTCACTTTTCCGATTCTCTCCCCCGTCCCACTGTGGGGAGGTAAGCAAGTGACTGTTGTGGAAGGAAAGAGAAATATGCTTCAATAACGTGTCTGGAAACTGTCCAGAGAGCACCCAGACAAAACCTCCCAGCAGCAATGGAGCAAATGCAGTGCCTTAAGAGATGTCTCTCCCTAATTCTTATGGAAAAAAATCAATGCCTGGGAGGCAGCTTCCTGTGTTTCAACTGGAAAAAGAACATCACGAGGCTATTTGGGAATTACCACCCTTGATTTTTGTAGCTACAGTGAATTTATTTATCTCAATACAAAGAATTTTAATTATTATTTATTCCTTGTAGGGTGAAATAGCAGCACTCGAGCTTGCTGACTGACAGCATACTTGTCTAGCTTTAAACGTGCTATTCACAGAACCCCTCAAGCATCTTGAGTACCTTAGTAACAGTTTATATCTTACAGATGAGACATTATTTCTT